TGCTTGAGAGGTCTGAAAACCTTAGAAGCCTGGATTTAAGGGGCATTTTCTCAGATCACACTCATTAGAAAAGCCCTAGAAAGAAGACTTTGGATGTGCAGACTTCAGTTATATATACACCTCAACTGCAGTATTCAAAATCCCCTTGATTTTAATTTCCCAGTTTTCCTTCCCAACTATTACTTGCTAACGCCTCAGGAGAATGCTACAGTAACAAAGCTTACAGTCCAAATTAGAACTCTTCAGGAAGCTGACTAATCCCAATTGCATTTAGTTTACGTAAGTGTAAACAGATAGCTTAAAGTGACTTCTTAGTTTAATATGGGTTGAAAAGTCTCTTTCACATCTGTGCTTTAACTTAAGCTAGTATGTGATGGTCTGATGAGTGTCTTACAACAGTCTCGTCTTACCTTGGGATCAGATTGGAGAGGAGTGTTGTACCTGATAAAAGATTTTATTACTCCATTTCTCCCCACAGAGCATGGCGTCATGAGGAGCTGGTTCTTCTGCACAGTGTGCAAAAATGTTTTGAAAGGACGTACAACCTACGAGAGGAATGCCAAAAACATCCTCATGAGCATGAGTACGAAACAGGTCTTGATGAAGTACAGCAGGGTTACAAGAATCTTACTTTGCTGGCTGGAAAGGTAGGGGATGGGGTCTTTCTTCTCGGAGGAGAAAGCCCTCCGTCTTCTGCTTGCTGACTGTCGTAGCGTTCATCCACAGCTCTTTTGTAACTTGGCTTTCTCCTGTGAGAAAAACATAGTCCATCGTACATGGCAAATCTTGCTGATTGTCTCAAAGTTGGGTTTCAAAAAAGGTCATAAAACTATCCGAGCTTAAAAGATATTCCATAGTGTATACACAAGTAGATGTCCAATACAGAATTTCCAATGTGATGGAAGATACAAATTAAATCCTCTTTTCATAAAGGCAGAGAAAACTTCTTGCGGAAGTTTCATAGTCACAAAACACTGAAGCCATTTAACAACGTTTCAGTGTTGAACCTGCTTTGAACTGGATTACAGATCTCCAGAGGCACCTTCCAACTGCAGTGATTCTACGAACATACCTGGCACTCTGGGGTGGTTCCTGGGTCTCTCCATTCTTATTTAAGTTGCTTTCTGAAAGAAAAATCAGTTACAAAGTTTGTTCTAGCAGAAAAAAAAAATCCCTTCCAACACAGCTTTGAAAGCAGACAACAGATTTAGCAGCTCACTAAGTAGCAAAAAACCTGCCATGAATTATGCACAGCAGGACCTTGCTTGCTTTCAGCAAGCAACCGCACAGCGCCATTCAAACCTAGAAATACAAAATAAAACAAAGCTGGCTAAAGCAATTGTGGTATGCAGTTTGCACTAATGCAAGGCTCTTCTGTTCTGCACAGACACAGAGCAACTGCTTTCTTCTGAAACGGGGTTCAGCTAGGCCTCCCACAACCTGGAGAACGTGCAACCCTCCATCTTCATTTCCACCTGCTTCCCAGGGTGGAAAATAACTCCAGCACAGAGTTTCCTAACTGCTAATCTCTTGAAACAAATTCTTGCTTGTCAAAGATTAGATTAGTCTTTCCAACCAGGCTCTCAAACTAACTAGCCAGCCTTTCAAACTTCCCAGTCAGCCTCCCAAAGAAGCAGTGACTTCTTAAAATTCTGCCACACAAGTCCTCTGGAAGTTACCGTTGTTGCTCGGCTCCTGCGGCTGAAAATCAAATGGGTTTCAGCACAATTCTGAGACAGAAACAGCCAGTTCCTGTTTCAAATCATGATGCCATTCTGATGAGGACACTGTCTGCAACATCACCAGAGAATGCGAGACCCCACGCAGAGTATAAAGTATTGGTGCCAGTACCAGAGTGAGCTCCTAACCTCCAGCTGTGAAAAACACCTCAGGACACCATCTTGGTAAATTCCTGGATGTCGTGTCATCACTAGAAGCACTGGCATTAACAGAACACCAGTCTCTGCAATGAGGGATTGACTGCTTAAACTGAACAAACTCATAAACTATTAAGGACAAAAGCATTTCCAATTGGAAATCTGTTGATGCTTGCTGGACTTCTGGCAAAGAGTCAGGCAGCACTCATTTTACTTAGCAGTGATGAGTGGACAAAGAGGGAGACAGCAAAGACAAACAGCTCATTTCCTCGATTTATCTGTTTCTGTTATGAATGTGATATGCATTGCTATTTGCCGCTTTTGCACTTACACCAGTACGAAATTCTGTTGTGATAATGGCTTTATATGCCTGTGAGAGAGCAGGCAATGGCTTTTGAAACCTGCACTCTGCTAGCAATACAAGCATTAACTCCACTCCCCAAACCCATGCTGGCCAGCGTGCAGGCTGGCAGGCACAAAAGAGCTGGGAAGAAAAGAAAAAGTACGGAAACTTTATCCTCCCCAAATGCTTCTCTAGTCTTAATCTAAGGCTAGATGTAGGAAGCATCTCGTAGCCTGACAGAAGGACACAGATCCTACTAATTCGAGATCAGGCCCGAGAAAACCTGACCTTTAACCAACAGCATGCGTAGAGGTACTGTCTTTATATGTTCCTATAGACAGAGGCACTCTCTGGTTTGACAAGGCAGCGGAGTCACTGCACTGTCACGCGGCTCACAGCTCCCAAAGGTAGTCCCTGGCAGAAACTAAACCACCTTTGGTTCGCCAGGAAAGCTGCTGATACATAGATCGATAGATAAAGTCACCTGGTGACATAGGCTAACAACGGGACAGGCTACAAGGTCCCACTCCCAACAGCAGTGGTATAGAAATAAAAGATGAGGATCAAGGACAGATCAAACACACTATGGGGACTAAACTGTATTTATAAACACATCAGGCTACAGAAAAAGCACAGATCTGCAAAGCAGTCTGTCCATTACTCTCTGCTCCTCATTTTCCCTTTAAGCTTTTCTACAATTGTAACTCAGGCAAGTTAAAAACCCAGAGGCACCAGAATAACTGATGTTATTTGAACTTTTGTAGATCTGCTGACAAGCACAGCCATAAAAGCATGTATAAACCTGTCCTTGTTTGCAGAAGCGCTTAAGGCCACAGAGCTCCACTCCATTAATTCAGTCTTTGCTTACTGAAAATCATTCTGGACAAAACACTCACATAATCGTGGGATTTCTTCCTCGGGAGGGCAGTGAGAATGGTGGAGGGATATGTTTTAACCTGAGTGATATTTACAAATTTCTGTGGTTGTCTTAAGACAAACTGACAAGCTTTGAATAATCTGCTGGACTAACAAAAAGGTCAAAAGAAGCTTTAAAAATACAGAAAAAATAACAGTGTACAAACTCTGGCTAACTGAAAAAAAGAAAACACAAAAAAACCCACACTTCCCCGAATTATAAGGTGGTTATTTATCTGGATAGATTCAGGATTGAATTTTCATACAACTGATCTCTAGCAAGAGGCTAAGAAGCAAGAGCCAGAAAGCAGGACTCGACTCAATGCCAGCGATACCAGGGTCGGTATCCAGCACCGGTGTGCACAAACCCATCATTTACGTTTAAATCTATTTATGCAAAATGACAGAGACAATGCTCTTTTCTAGTCTAAGCTAGCCTTAGCCTTGAAAGCATCTGCGATTGTAACACCATACTGACAGAATACCTCTACCTGCATCCAAAATAAGCCCTGGGTCACATGTGCTCAGTTTCCACATAGAACTTCACTGGTTTTTGTTTTGCTGGTTTAGGAACATTGTGATTAAACCAGACTTGACCTCCTCAGACTTGCTCTAGTCTGTGTCGGCACCAGGGAGGCTACGGGCAGGCTCATGCAGGTGCGCGAGCCGAGTGCTCCACGCCGTCTGCGGTCAAGTGCCACGCAGCAGGTCGACTGAGCCGGCAATCCGGGGCCAGCGCTCCCCGATTCCCCAGCAACAAACGAGGGGTGTATTCAACACGTTTTGCTCACATGTCCATACAAACGGAAACGCTTTTAATCTCTGCTCAAACCTTACCAACTTGGTGGGGGTACAAGGTCCAGGAGGAGGCCTAGAAAAAAGATAAAGAAAAAAGACAGCCGTGTTTAGTAACACCAAGGAAACTGGGAAGCCGCTTGTTGTCTGCAAGCGGTGCATTTTCCACCAGCAATGTCACCATAAAAAAAGGCCTCCAAGCAGGATATTAAGGATAAAGAAATATCTTAAAGCAGTCTCACCCAGTTTTGACAACTGTTTCTTCATCCTCTGGCACCTCTCCAGAGCTGGAGACTGCAGGAAAAGAAAAAAAATGCCAGAGCTATAATGTACAGGCGCGGGCCAAGACTCTTTGTAGGAGCGAGGATCACTCCAGACTGCTGCGGAGGATTTTTCGCTGGCAGGCGCGGGCCAAGACTCTTTGTAGGAGCGAGGATCACTCCAGACTGCTGCGGAGGCTTCTGCGCTGCCTCCGGGGTTATCGCCTGCCGCTACAAGCGCGGGCAGCCGAAGACACCGAAGCAGCACCACAGAAAATGCTGCCTGCAATTTTAATGCAAGAAAACAGACGTTTTCAATTATAGATGAGTTTAAAGTGTTGTTCAATGAGCTTACATTTAGAGTGACTAGGTTTGGGCTCAGACCCATTTTGCAGGGCCGCATCCAGATACCAGCAGCAGTTAAAACCCACATTATTTACAACCCGAGTGCCGCTTCCTGCTAAGCATCCCATCTGGCTCAGCGGTAGCAAGCTTTTAAGTACCAGCACAGCCGGAAACTGCTGTTAATAATTGAGAAGGTGATGCAGCTTCAGCCCGGGTGGGCTATACAAGGGCAGACCTTGCACAGTCGGAGCACGCAGCCTGCTCCCATCCTTCCCCTGCAGGTGTTACCGAAGGAGCACGAACACACGTGCTGCACACACGTCCAGCGCAAGGTCTGACGCGCCAGCGACAAGGCAGACGCACTCTGCGGTCGATTAGCGTGCTTTGGGCTTTCGGGTGCTAACCCGCTTCACTGGAGCTCTCCAAAACATCTCGGCTCCTCTGCTCACACCCTGAAATTTTGACTAGGCAGAAGAACAGTCGTGTCATGTAGCACAGAGGGAAGAAATCAAGCCTTCCTTAAACCTCCCAGGTAGTCCAGATCCGGACAACACGGGCTGATTGTTTAAACTGGGTAGATAAAGCTACTTCAGTGCCTCTTAAAAGTTACAGATGAGATGACTTCCCTACAGTTTCATTTTTTACTGAGGGAGCCCCGAGCACTTAGAAACTTGGACAGCACTCCACACTGCCCTGTTACCAGCACAGGAAATCTGGTACCGGGACGGCAAGGCTCTGGCTTGGCAAAAACATTCAGCTACAACAGTTACATTGATATGGAAAAAAATACTACAGTGCTTGTCCAAGATATCCTTCTACAGCAAAAATAGGATAACTCCCCAAGAACAGTCAGTTTTATACAGCACAAATGCCACCAAGCCAGAACACTGCAAGGTAACACGTTACAGTGACATTATTTCAGCTGTATGAGTTCTCCCTTCAAACAAAACGTTCGTTGTGCAAAACAGCCAATCCCTCCTCAGCATCAAACTGTGTAGGAGAGGTTCTCTTGCATCACCTGCATTTCAGGAGCCAGTTACGAGTCCACCATTTACTTACATGAGGGCTGTTCTCCCAGATGCTTTACAAGGCTGAAATCACAGGCCACAAACTAGCATAGTTCCCTGGGTCTCTCTACTCACACAGGCCTCTAGAAAGCCAGTTAGAACATCCATGCTTAATTGCAGCTTGTCTAGCCTAGGAAGATCAGCTGCCGCACCCACACTGAAGATCTAGCCCCGTAACATTGCCTTCCTTCAGCAGCAGATCAACAAAAAGAGCAGAAAATGTGCAAATCAAACTCATCTGGCGACGTTCAGACTTACCATCCACGCAAGCGGAGGACACAGATGACTTTCGAGCCGCCTTCCTCTTGACCATTGTCCTGGTGATAGATTTCCGGATCATGCTTTCCCTCTTGCTGGCCAGTGAGTATTTCTCTGCCAAGGAGGTTCTGCGAGTCATGGAAGCTTTACCCATCAGACTTCTGCGCACTGAGCGGCGGCTCAGCCTAGAGCCTGTCGGAGTCTCCGGGCTATCCCTTACACGCTGGGAAGGCTGCTTAGCAGAGCCCTCCTGTACCTGAGCAGAGCCATCTACCTCCTCCAGCCAAGGCTCGTCACTTAAAATGACTGTAGTATTAGCTGCCTTTCCTGTCTTCAGCTCAGACGCAGCCTCGCTTTCTGCTGCACCGTCTGCCTCGGGGGTCTGAGGGAACACCAGCTCACGGGCTGCAGGCGGCAGTTCGTCGACCCTGCTTTCCTTGGGAGAGACATCACCTGAGCTCAAGATGACGGTTGTGGAGAGCTTCTCTGCCGGTTCAGATGCGCTGTTCTGGAGGTGCAGCTCAGCGCTAACGCGATCACTGACACCGATTTCTACTAAGGGAATCTTCCCTGCTGCTGGCGGGACAGGAAGGGGCTCGGGAAGGGCCTCTGAGGCTTTAGCAGATGTTGCGGCCTGGGGTCTTGTCACACATTGAGGTGGGGAGACTTGTTTGGCCTCAGCCCTCACTACTTCCAAGTTTTCTTTATTTCGGAGTCGTTGAGAACATCGCACGGAGGACACCAGTTTGAGACTGCTGCTCCTCCTTCGAGACAACCTAACAACAGAAACAGCGCCTTAGACTGGGACTGGGTTCAGGAATAGACCAGAACTCCTATCAGAACAGTTCGCTGTCAGACCCCTGACTGAAATCACAGCAAGCAGAAATGGCGTGCCTCTGTCCTTCTTTGACAGGCCCCTGCACGCCAGCTCCCTGCGGCTCTGCCACCCTGCGCTGGAGACAGCTCGACG